CCATATTGCGAATGGGCCGATCGATGTGTCGGCAGGACTTGGCCCATGGTGAAGAAAAGGGCTAACGGCCTATACACCAGTCCGGTCAGTCAGCAACAGATCATTTCAAAACTGAATCAGGCAAAGAGGACTGCCGTACCTAGTCTGATAACAGATATCGTGGCTTCCAAACCCCCATCGTTTATTCCAATTCGCAAGTCCGAAGTTATAGCGCATCGGTAAGAATCCCCACATGATCGGATCATCCATCCTGCTCAATTAAAGCGGCCATGGTCAGCGTTCTCTGACGTCGGAGTTGAACGGGTCGCCTCAGCTTTCGAGACGCAATGTAGGCACGTACACGCTGGTATGGTTCGAAACTAATAATCCAAAACAGTTAGCCGATATAAGAACTTTTAGGTACAGTGATCTAAGAGGGAAAAGACTAGACAGCATACCTGTGAGCAAGCCTCTCGTTCTCTGCGAGGGATCACTCCTCGAGTCGAGGAGCTCGAGAAATTGATCCAATCCATTTGCTTGTGGCCGACTGCAGAGGTACAGAAATGAGCGGCATAACGCTGCAACCCCAAAGATGGTGGTGGAGGACAATGCCCTCCAGGGAAGCGAGGGCGCATCGGCCGTTGCGCCGCCAGAGTCCGTAGAGCGCGACATTGTTCACTCAGCCCGCTCTAACCGAGATCCATCCAAGCAGTAACAGGGAGAAGGGCAAGTAATATAATACAGCGTAGCGGCAGGCAGAAAGTGAGGAGAGGAGGAGGGGGGAACAACCCCGGATCGACGGCGTGAAAGCAGGTGGCATCTTCATTGGCCTCGCAGAAATTCGGGGAAGGAAATCAATTGTTGGCCCGCGGAGGTTCGCCGTGCACGGACCTCCCCAAACCTCCTCGACGGGATTTTCGTCCGCCAACTCGGCTTTCCGCTCCTTGTGATTGATAGCTTGCCTCCCACTCCTTCGTTCCCTTCGTCCTTCTTTCGGTGACTATATTCGGTTGTCAATTGCAAAGATGATGTTCAAGCCCTCATCGCCGCTCTTCTCCGGTCTTCTTTGGTAGGTCGCAATCCCATCGGACTGCCCCTGTCACTCGCCCGGACATCCCGCATTGCTACAAGCACCCCCATCGTCATCATCATGCGCCGTGAAGCTAATATCACTCGTCAATCGAATAGGAAGATTCCGTGGCGCCTCTCCCAGCCTCAGAAGGCTCGCCAGAGGAAGCGCCTCCGTGGCGTTGACCGGGTTGTCGACACTGTCTCCGCCGCGCTGGAGCGCAATGGATACACCACCAAGTCCGTCGAGCGCTGGTACAGGGAAATGCCTCGCGAGGAGGAGATGCTGCCGAAGGACAAGTACACACTGTTCGACAAGAAGGAGAAGAAGTACCGCAAGGGCATTCACAGTACGTTACACCCTAGGCCCATCTAAGTCGAAGGGCTGCCATTCCCAGAGGGGACTCAAACGAAGGGGATTCTGTTCGAATTTCGTGTGCTAATGCTATTTCTCTTACAGAGCTACCCAAGTGGACCCGTGTCAGCCAGAGAGTGAACCCCCCGGGTTTCTAAACAGCTTATACACGCAGAGTGTGTTGGGAAGCTGGCAATCGCCTTTTACATATTTGTACCTGCATTATTCAACTGTACTATACATCACATGCTGTGTCTGCCACGATGCTCTACAAGAAGCGTCATTGAAGGCACAGAAAGGATTACCGGAGTTTTCGGCAACTGGGGAATGACACCATGACTGCATTGTTCGCCTCGCTATTTACCATGTTCTTTATTCAAGCCTAAGGCACAGGATTCAATTCGATTTCAGAGACTTGGCATTTGATGGCATCTTTCAGATTCGTAAGGATAGGCGGTCGTTGGGAACCGATGGAAGCGCCTGAAGGCAGCATAACAATACAGATAGACCATAAAGAGGCTGCATCATGTTATCTGTCCCGTACATCATCCTTTCACACAGATATATAATCGCCCTTGACACATTCGAACTGTTTGCAGAGCAACCACACAATTTCTGCCCAAAACGCGCTGTGCTGTCAGCGGACCAGACATGAGTCGTTTGCAGATCAAGAGCCTTTTGCTGTTGCCATATGAAAATACCGGCTGATTGCTCCTGCAGTTTCTTTTGCTCTTGTTCTGTTGACTCTGCCTTCATGGATGGCTTTCCGAATCAGATAGCCATGGCGGATCTTTTGCCAATCATCGAATGTCTCTTGCCAGCCTGCCCCTCCTTCATAATACACTTTTCCCTGTCGGGCTGACATGAACGGTCCTTGCGGGGGTCTGCGCAGCATCCAGCATGATGGATCAACCTTCCCATCTGGTGGATCAGCCGTCGAATCGGGGTAAAGTTTAATTGTCTTGACCATGTCACGTAGTCCAGATGCTTTTCGGTGTTTGTTAACAGCTAGCCTCCATGAGTTAATTTTAGGAGTATAAACTGCTTTGCGTGGCACTCTTGGGTACTTTGGTTTTGCGGCCCAGTCAGGCTTTGGATATGGCGAGTTGAATCTTGGATCTCCAAGTCGCCTTCTAGCATCGATAGGTATTCGCGTAGGTGGGTCAATTACCAGCCAGGTTTCTTTATTGAGCCAGTGGTTCGCAAGCAGCGCGAAATGGTAAGGTCTCCGGCCTGGGCAGAGCTGGTTGTAGAGCCATTCCAGTCTCCGGTCCAGCCCATCTATGAACTGTAGCTCCCAACTAGTCAGCTCTCTAATAGGAACTCTTCTTTCCAGAAGCCCTGTCTGCTTCTTCCTCTCCCGGGACTGCCTTGTTCTAGAGCGATGCATGCGCAATGGCTCTTTCTGTCGCGTGCAACCATCTGAATCCCTTTCTTCTTCCAAGCCTAGTCCTGTACGATGGCGGGCCTCCAGGCGACAGGGTAAGCTTGATCGACCACATGCAGGGACTGCAGAGTAGCGCACAGCTAAACCAGCAATATGATCAACACTTACCGCTGCTTCCACATTCTTGACATGATTATGGTTGTTAGGATTGTTAGGTATCAGTGTGCTGGAATTTGTTGAGAAATCCTCTTTGCGCCTTGATTGGTTCAGGATCAATAGAGATGTCTGATCGGATGAACTGGTGACAGAAAGCCCAGATCGCGGAGTCCCGGCAGGTGGTCCTAGAAGCTCTGTATATTTGGACGGTTGCAGTGCCATCCGAGCAGACAAGACTTGGTGCTTACGGAAACCTCGGAGTCTTTTTATTGTCTCTATTCCGCCTTCTGGAAAACTTGCCTTGGCGCGGTGTGGTGCATTTGAGGCGATCGAACTCTCATAATTCTGGCTGAGGCATGGAAGCGAAAGACTGCGTATATCTCCTGTGCCACGACCTGCAAATCCTAAGCGCATCCGAGTGCTGCAAGATGTATGGCGCGACTGGCTTTGAAGTATGTCTATGTTGCTTGCATATTTGAGAGGTTCTCGCTCAAACCTGCACTCTCTTGTGCATTCGCTTCGATACTGGCGAGTTTGTCTTGCCTTTCCTCGCGTTGACGCTCGCTGATAGCCACGCTGAAAGAACAATTGGCTATACGAGCTCGTAACATTGCTTCCTCCAAGCGCATAGTAGATTGTTCGACTTGTTATGGATCCAGGTGTGTGACTTCTCGAAAGCGCCCCGGTCATAGCTTTGAGAGAAGCATATCCACTGCAGAAGTCCGACGTAGTAGTGTTCCTGTGGCGAGGAGGGGGCCCTGGGTTCCAGATAGTATCAGCAGCAATGTAGCTATAGCTTTTAAACCAGGTCGGTAGCCATCGCAGGTTTCTCCTTTCTTCGCAAAACCTATTCTGCATTTTCTGCCCAGGATCCCACCAAAGCCAGTGATAGTCATCCCTTGGCGATCTCCAGACTGCGCAATCATGGAGCTTTTGCAGAATTCTCCGTGCTAGCGCTTTGTTCTCCTTATGTCGTTTTGCTGAGACCCAACCATACCAAATCCTGCTATAGCGTGTTGTAGTTTTGTTTCCTTGTTTGAGCACTTTACCCTGGGTGAGGAAACGACAGAACTTCGCAATTTTCCAGAAGAAAACCGAAACAATAAAGAATAACACTGTGCCTGCGAAAAGCTGAAGCAACGCTTTGAGACCAACGTATTTCGTGGCTTGTATGACAGATGCATGAGCGTTTTCATATGATCGAGTGAAGGGTTGGGATTGATATAGATGCATCAAGACGGGTGCCATCTGATTGAAGCCTCATTGAATAACAAGCAAGGGATAGTCATCCTGGTAACAATATAAGATATGCGCCGTCCAGGTCATGTACTGGGAGTAACAGTCGCTTCAGTGGAGAGTGGTCTTGCGGTTTGTGGGAGGCGCAAGAAAAGGGAAGGAATGGCTGGTGCTGCATAATCATGACACTGGCCCGAAATTGTTGCATCCCTCGGCCTCACACACGTTTGCACGCCTTGCTTTTAACCTTGCCTCCCTTTTGATTTGATTGCCCAACTTGTCTTGAGAATCAGTATCATTATCTTCCCCAGATCTGGGTAGATTGTCACGATGAAACTGTCCATGTGAACAAGACGAAAGATATAGCAAGACTTTGTTCGCTTTTCCTCCGGAATGCTGCATGTTCTACCACAAAGCTACTCCCGCGCCATAGTATTCAAACAACCAAATGAAGCCGTTGATAGGTAGTACTCTACCCGCTCAGAGACACTGGGCTTCTTACGAATGCTTTTTCGAGTTATCCTGTGCTACATTGATCGAAATATTCCGTCTGTTTGGTTCGAACTTGAGCACTTGTCTTCCTAGGGAGTGGTCCCTTGTAACATGATTCTAGGGATACCAAAGAATAGCTTCCTCTTCCCTCAGAACCATCGAATTGCAAGGCTAATCCTGGGAGGAAAGGTCTTTCATCTGGTTTATCGCGCTAAGAAAACGCTGCCGATCTCAAGGCTACAAATCACAGCGATTATCTCAGAGATTCGACACATTTCTCGCATATGTTCGCAATGATAGCTACAGCATATCACAAGTATGCAGTCGGTGAGACTGAATCCCATAGATTATGGCTGGTCCATGTTAACATTGCCCAAAACACAAAGACAAGGATATGCCTTGTCCTGGTGGCCGTCTTCACTATTCTTGGCAGAGGCATTGTAGAAGCAATAGTCTCTTATCTGGAACCAGGCTGTCGGGTTTTTCTATAGTTCTCGCGAGGATTTTATTCTTTTTCAGAGGGCCTGGATTTAAAAATAGGTGTCAGCTCAGCTGTGTTTGCACTGCATTGATGATCGACACATGGTGTCAATCTAGACAAGATATGTCGCAGGCTTGTCCAAGGTTACAGAGCCAGAGAACTTGGATATAGTGGGCACGCCATAGCTTTGAGGACTTTGTCTCGCTATGGTTTGGACCTAGCTCTCACAGACACATTCGATTACTTCCCTTATCGTTATTTTGGAGTTTCCGTTCTGCTCCTGCTGAATGAGGGATGTTCAGATCAGGTGACCGTAGATGGTCGGTTTCCCGCCTCACTCTCTCGCCTCATTTTTCCCTTCAATCTCATCAACCCCAAGGCTCAGAGCCTGAGAATCGATCCCCAATTCATTTCACACTTAATTTAATTGAATGGCACATGTGGCTATAGGTACTCATATTTTCTTTTTCATGCCTTTCTTTCTTCTAGTAATGAATCGTTTGATGCTAGGATCATCACTGTCTCAGATCAATCCATTAGTGAAGAAAAATTAATGAAAGCTGCAATGGTCGAGATCCCCTGATGGTCCTCACATCGCCAGCACAACCGAGCACTCCAGCCCGTATTTCAATCCACTAAGGGGACTACCTCTCAGCTGCTTCAATAATTGAACGCAACGAGGCTTTCCCCCCTTTTTTGCATTGCCCCCTGGATATTACTTTATTCATTAGCCTGCTAACAAGCTCGGCGAAAACAGGGAAATTCTACTGAAGTTTGTTTTGGTCTTTAGGTTACACGGCCCATAGCCTATACTTAAACCCCGGTTCTGGGTCGAAGGCACGGTTACCAAGTACCGGGATAGCTACTACACTTCTACACGCCCGCGGCGAAAAATACCCCCGGCTGCTTGTGGGGTTAGCACATCTAGGGCTGACGTCCAGTACCTCTTTTGGTCAAAGGCGCTCAGTGGCTGATTAGGATCATTACTAGTGAAGGTCGTCTGCTAAGGCCATCGTCGACCGGCTTGCCGGAAGGCTTCCAGACACAATTGGGCCCTTGTGAATCCCAGCCCTGTACTTTTGGCCGCTTAAGATCGCCGTCTAGCCCTTCCTGGGTCTAAAACAGGAATACACAGGACATGCCCCATGTGGCGGTAACAACGGAAAACAGCCCCTGCCCTATTGAATTTCCTGGTACATGTGATATCTGATACATATGGGACATATAACTCGCGATATCTGTGACACCATCAGCCAACATCCATGTGATTGTTCAACGAAGCAATCCCAAGCTGAACATGAGCAAGGGTAAAAGGATGGCCAAGAAAGAAAAGAAAATAAAGAATAAAGACCCAGTTGTGTGTTCACCGATGCTATCTTACCGGGACACTACATCCCTAAAGCCACTGATCTCTTTGTAATCGGCAACAGGCTCCAACCGGGGCGGGATGGAAATACTACCGCAGAGATTGCCACCTCTGATTAATGAGCTTGCTGCAATTATATACACTCATAATATTGAGTTGCCCCCTTCCGACATCCTGTGCCTCAATTGTTGCGGGATTTGTTGCGGGGCCTGAGCCTCGTATAGATTAAGATCTACCAAACGATGATCGACCGCATACTACGTTCATGGAGGGTTACATGCACGGTGATGGCCCACCAATTATTTTTTCTGATGTCTGAAAGGATAGGAAAAGCAAAGGAATAGTAACATGATTCGCTAAGCCGTGTGTATCATATCGTCGGCATTTGGAACATATACTCTAAAGACAGCATCACACCATACCGGCATCGCACATTCACAGATGAGCAAGGTTGTCTCCCTTGGACAGAGGCAAAAAGGGGCAGGTAAACTGGTAATGCCTCGCTGCATCCATGACTTGCCTCTTCTCAGTTCACTGATCATGGATGTCACACGGTGAGCGAATCCAGGGACTCGAGTCATGTCAGTAAGCAGAGAACGTACCGTGGGGCACCCCACGGCGAAGGGTAAGCGGTAGACGCTAGTGGAATAGACGAGGATTTAGGGGGTGGAGTGATGATGAACGATGTCTTTCAGCATTGACGAAAGACAAGTCAGCTTCAAGCATGGGTGATCCTGGAACTGGACCACTTTGCAAATGCGATCCGGATTACGGAATCAGAAACAAACACATCACCTGCAGTAAATGCGGTGTAAGAGCTCCCTTTGCAGGATGTTCCAAGTTGTGCCCGACGACACAATTCGGGACTATTTGCTGAACTATGACAGTTCCGGATGACCACTAGCCACACCCGCCGCAACGTAAGGAAGGCCGTGGTTTCACTACACCGCCACAGATGGGCCGTTGATCATCGTGTCAGCCACAAGTGGCTACTAGTGAACCATAGCGCAGTCGTCCAATCATCATGCAGCATGTCTCGTCCCACGCATCCCGAGGCATGGAACCTACAGGAGGAAGTAGCGCCGATCGATCTTGCATTGCATTGCAGAAACACTCAACGATTGGTGTCTGAAAAAGCAATCATCCCCGATGACCACCATCTTGATCTTGTCGATGATGAAATGAGATTCGATGATCTCAATACCAGCGGGAGTCACGGCTTCGCGTGTGACCGGAACTCCGTCTATTGATCGGGTTAAATTTCAGGAACGTAAACATGACATACTGCACACTTATCTCACTGCATGACAAACCCGTATTCCGCGAAGTGCGAGGGATCAGCACGATAAGTGCAATGCAGAAACTACATGTCACCATTTCAGACATGGAGCCCTGATGGTGAAGACCCCAGGGTCTAGATCTTGCACGCACACCGTTGTACTGGGTATCATGCAGTGGACCCACCGTTCATCCGGCCGAAACCCCCAACTACAGAAAGAGGATCTACATGTTGTGTGGTCTCAGAGGCAGTGGGACCAAGAGGCATCTGCAGTATCATCCCGGCATAATTCGGGTCTATCTCACAGATATCTTGAGGAGAATGTCATTTGCTAGCCGAGCAGACCGGTGTCAGGAGTGCCATCAGAGATCCATGCAAGGCAACAGCATTCAGACAGAGTTTACTAGGACGGAGTCTAAGGTTATCTCCTCTATTACTGAACAGCCTCTCATGCATCTCGGGATTACACAGGGAACACACCAGCCACAATGAGGCAGGAGGGATATGTGGCTGGTGTGTTGATCTAGACCCAAAGGGGTATGTTGTGTGGCGAAGTAGCCCCTGGGGCTTGACGCCCAGTCGCCCCTCCTTTTCTGCAGTGCGACAGGACCTTGTCCGTTCCCGTCCTTGTCGGATCATCTCTGTTTACCTTGCTCGGGCTTTGGAGTCTGGAATGTCAAATTAGTGTATACTCCATCACCAGTCCAGACCCTAGTTAGACGGATCCTCTCTCCTGGGTCTGAACCTGGGCTCTGACCGCTGGACCGGGTAGACGAGCGACAGGGACGCTTCAGACTCCCAGGGCCAATATAGCTGTGAAAGTCCCGGGGATCCGCCACATGAGACAGTCTCCCAAGTCACGGTCTGACAAAAGTACAGATGGGAGCAGGATGGATAGGTATTGCACGAGTGAGCACCCGTCCGGGAGCTGTCGAAAACGTGGTTCCGGCACGGTCCAGGTAGTAAGCAGGAGTCACCAAAGCTCGGATTTTGCGCAACAGATTTGAGTTTCCGGGCTTGGTATCTGGCGCTTGGGTAACTGGGAAGGGATCCTAGCACCCGTATCTCTAGATCCCTAGCTCGATCTCGCAATTTCCCCGGGAGGTCAATGCAAGGAGACTAATGAGGAATGATCCTTCCTCACCCAGGCTCTAGCTTTCTCTCCACGGGACCATTTCCGCCTCCCCAAACCATATGCAGTCGTCCTATGGAGCGAAATGGTTCGCGGGCGGAGCAAGCCATGGAAGTACAATATCAGCCAGAAAAAGTAATGAAATACATGGAAAAACAAACCTGCCACGAACCATAGTTCTTGATCGTCATACATCCGATAGTCACTAGTTGATCCAACTGGGTCCAGTGATGTTAAGCTTCAGAATCAGATCCCCTGGCATGGATTCGCACTTTGACATCGCAGTGCGCTCTGCTTTCCAACCTTTGGGACCAGAAGTTCAACTCTGGGACTGTCCAAGGTTCTCTCCTTTCTACCCGCGCTAACGGGACCCAAATTGACGCGTACCAAAGACCACGAACTGTAGTTGATCTGGGTACTAGTGGGGAAGGGGGGGGAAAGAAAACGTCAAGTCACAGACAAATAAATCGTCTCAAGCGGATATCGTCTATGCAAGCGCCCTGTTGCAGGATCGTGCAGGTTTAGCAGTACCCAACGTCCGGTAACATTCAATATCCCGCAGCCTAGGGGCATACGGGACCTCTGGTGCAGATCCCGGTTACTGGAACCCCCAGTATCTATTGATCTTAGTTCCTTCGTGGTGGCAAAAGACCATTGCCGTCTTGAGTACTTTCCTGGTTCAATTCGAGACTCCTATATCGCACCCTAGCGATCCGTTGCTACTATATACGAGAGGACGCATATATGAAGGCCCTGGAAGAAGCCTTTCTTCGATGTCTCCGCTCACTCAACAAGCTCAAGCCTACAGTCTCAATTCGAAATCTCAGGTTTTCTGCTTTAAATAGACCCTTGTCGCATCACTTTCTCTTTCTTCCCTCGCGATCAATCTCTTCTTGACCTCTGGAAATCAGTCTCAGAGCCCTAGCTGAGTACTACTTGTCGAAATTGCCATCGAGTCGATACACACCCGCGCATCAATCATCATGGTTCAAGGAAACGGAAGGAACGATGGCGGAAGCTCCAGCCGTGAATATGGCATGAACTTTGAGGTTGCGCCTCCTACAACAGTTCCCCTTGGCGTACCAGTGACTCTACCAGTAATTGTGGGGGTCCGACCTGTGGGTAACCCACGAGGAGTGCAACAATTGGTTGCGCATGCCTCGCTGAGGAATGAAGCAGGCACTGCTCCAGCTTCAGGACTCACAGGCGTGCTTACATCTAGCGTGCGCAGTCGCAATGGCAACGGCACCAGCGGATACGCTCGATTTGGGCCTCTCAAATTCACACAGCCTGGTCGGTATCGGATGCGGGTTATGCTAGGAGCGGCCTCTTTCAACGGCGTCACCACGAAAGAATATGTTGAATCGGGTATTATTCAAGTACAGGCCGGCGCTGCTACACCACGTCCGAGTAAGACCCATCGTTACTATTGGTGAGAAATATCTCACAGCTAACCCACTTTCAGCACCCACTCAGGTCTCAAAGCTACAGACCCTAATCCCGGAAAACATCGACATCACTGCGGCTGACATTGCGACATGGCAATCAGCATAGAAGCCTTGGAGCACAGCCATATTTCGTACCCTCCTTTACTTGTATTAATTGTCGGTTTTACTCGGTGTTTGTGAAGATCGCGTCAGGATCAGCCAGGAGTTTCGGCCTGTGTCTCAGCTTTCTCGCTCACTCATGTGAATTTCCTTTGTTCGAGGCGGGCCAAACACGAAGTGCAGAGTGTTGGCCACCACATGATTTACGATCTAGTTTTAATTTTTTTTTCTTTTTTTTAATTTACCGCTTAGTATGTGATACACAAGCTCAGATTTAGCGAATGCAACTTTAATTGGATTTTCCCATCCCGGCACTAAACCGTCACATCTGCCAATCGTGGGCCACGCGACACCGATCCAAATCCCTGCAACAAATAGCCAAACTGCAGAACCCACTATGGATAAACCTTTATGACAATCAGGCATCAAGACCCTTAGAAATTGATAGAACAGTTCCACCAATAGCACATTTCCCAGAACGAGCCATGAAACCTGTTTCATCTCTCACCATAACCATCACCTTCTTCAGCACCACAACCACCCCATCCTAACAACAAACCCATTTCTATGTAGATCCAGAAATCAATCAAATCAATCATCAATCACTAAAATCCACAAACAGTTAGCACCCGCTTTCCCAACCCCTCGTAAAAGAAAGAAGAAAAAAATTCGAAGAAAAAAGAAAATATCAATCCCACACCATCCCAGCATCGATCCCTATAAAACCCTCAACTAACTCCTATACTACCAACTGAATATAATATCTAAGCGGGTCCTCACTGGGCATCAACCCTCACTCCCACTCACGCGGGAAATCTCCCCGAGGTAAGGACGAAATTAGCCCGATGAACAGCAGTTAAATCTCCATGTAACTAATTCAAGGCTACTACTCCCATAGAGGAAATGATGATGCTTCGCTTGGGCATTTTGAGTATAGTAGCAAGGATTTTTAGTCGACTGAATGGATCCATCCATAAGTTAGTGAGTGATTGATGATCAAATCGGGATTTGAATCTTCGGTGTTTGGGTGTTGTGGAGCTTGGAGCTTGCTGCTGCTGTTGTGATCGATCGTGAGTAATATCAAGATATGGATATTATAGCAGTAGTAGTGTAGCTAGAAGAAATATGATTTTATCATCTGGCTGAAGGATTCTCCCACTTACGTAGGGCTCAGGGACCGGGGGGGGGTGATTATTGGCTGTTTGGGATATCGATTCAGCTTCGGTTGGAAGATTGAAATATCTTGGCTTGGAATGCTTGGTAGGTGGTGGCGGGGGTATCTGTGGGATTAATTGGCTGGATTGTTAATTAATTGGTATTGTGTCTACTTTGTGGTGGTTGTACAGCTTGGGTGAGAATTGCGATGTTGGCGATGGTTCATAGATAGGGGGTGGCGATCTGGGAATCGGGTTGCCTGGAGAAGGGTGATACTTGCCATCAGCTGTACCACAGGCGTAGTTTTTACCAATAATCGTGAATTGATTGTACTCTATCTTACTAACTAGAAGGATAGCTTGCGCGAAAGTTGTTTTTGGGTGTAGAATGAGATTTGATTATGTAGAAGAGTTCGTCCTTTTCTTAATAACAATGCTCGGCTACCGGCTGAGCTAATGGTACTGTGCGGCGTCGAACGGTTGGATATATTCAGATGAGGGTTTTCCAAAATTTTCATCAACCATTTCCGAAGCGACTCAGTTACTTCCATGCCTTGCTTTTCGTTCATCAGATGTGACCAGTTCATGAGTTGAGCTTCAGTCTTGTCGGGTTGGGCGGTAACAACAACAAGAATATCATTCTAAGACAGCCACGTCAGCATCGTCTGCTAAAGGTTCGTTGCGGCATGCACATACATGTGTCTCTTCATGCGTCTCTATCGGTCGAAAGGAAAGCCCTCCCGTATCATTGGACAGTGCGCTCTCCACTGACAGACATGTATTGAACAGTGGTTGAACCTGGTTTCCTGGTAGCAAAAAACCCTCAAGGTCCACAAGTGAGCAAAATTGATGCGATTTGTCCTCGAGAGTGCTTTTCTGGCTCCACTCTAGTGTCTCTAAGAAAGAAAGCTCTGCGTCCAGAAGAATTCGACATGGAAGAACATTGAAGATCGAGCCGACCATTTCTTGAACTCCATCAATCGGTGCATCGCGTCCAGAGATCGTCGTTCCAAAACAGACATCGCTCGATTGACAGTATTCTTGCAATACCAGTGCCCATGATAGTTGGAGAACGTTTGTTATCGTCACTTCGTACTTGCTGCAGAAGCGTTGCAGAGTATTGGTGTCAACGAGTGGGTTAACTACGTACTGGAGCTGAGAAGTAGTGCAGTTATCTCGGCAAAGGCAATCTGTGGATTTTGACGGGAAATGGCATTGCGATATCCCGCTGAGCCTCTGTCGCCAATAATCGAGATGTTGACTATTTCTTCTCCAACTATCCAGATATGTCACCCATGAGCGGTATGACGGTGCTGGGGCGGGAAAAGGTAATCCACGATATGCCATAGATAGCTCACGGAGAAGGATCAGCACCGAGCTTGCATCAAGAAACGCGTGGCTGCCTTCAAGTTTGCACAGAACCTGACCGGCATCAGACTGGTAGATCGTGAGCCTGTAGGGTGTAACTTGGCTCTGCTGAACGTCTAGGTGTGATTCGCGTAGAGCGGTACTGAGATCATTGGAACTCAGTTGCCGCAAGACCTTAGCTTCAGTGGGGCAATTCCCCAGTACAACATGGTGTTCTGAACCTAAATCTTCCATCAAGATTGTTCGCAGCGCAGCATGGCGCTCAGAAACTGAATTCCAAGCGAAAAGCAAGCGTTCAATGTCAATCGATACATCGTTAACAGTAACTTCCCAGATCGTGTAAGATAGATGAAATGAGGAGCTCATCTTCCGAAGCAGTCCCATGTGAGGATCAGTGCAAGGGTACACGTCCTCTACCTTGGCAGATCTCGGTACCTTATCCAACTGTTTCATATTGGCTTCAAATGCTGCAATGTCCTGATATCTATCAGGAAGCAACGATATATCCTGAATGGCTGCAGAATTGTTTTCCGACGAC